GACAGCACGATCTGTGCTCCTCTAGTTTTTTAGGGAAACAAAAAAAAAANAAAAAAAAAAAAAAAAAAGCTTTTTGAAATTCAGGGAAATGGTGAAATTCCACCATCCCTGCTGTACTTCATTGTGGAAAACTCCCCATGGAAATGGCCCAAAATCCATGGAAAAGGGCCCAGAGCCAAGCAGGGCCCAGGGACAGGAGCACAAAGAGCTGAGATGCTGCAGGGCTGGCACCATGAGATTCCCATGGAATGTTTTGTCTTGGCCCAAATTTGCAGCTGGATTTGCACTCCCACCTCTGGATACAGCAAGGACTCCGTGCCAAGGTTTTCCTCATCCCCCTTTCCCCTCGTGGTGCTGTATAATAATTTATATTTTAGTGTTTGGTTGTTCTGCCTCTGCTCTCTTGAAATGGTCTTTGTGTTGTGCTCACTGCAGTTTTTATTAGCAAGAACTCTTAAACTGTGGTGTAAATACTAAATATTGGTATAAATATTGTATATAAGATATTAAAACGGTACAATATATGAATATGAATGTCAATATGAATATGAATAGAAATAGAAAGAAATAGAAATAGAAATAGAAATAGAAATAGAAATAGAAATAGAAATAGAAATAGAAATAGAAATAGAAATAGAAATTATATAAAATTATGACTATGACTGTCTATGAAAATATCAATATCAATGTAAATAGAAATAGAAATAGAAATAGAAATAGAAATAGAAATAGAAAGGAATTTAGCAGAATAAGGGTGATATGACCAATATTTTCCATTCTTGCCAATTCCTTATTCTTTTAAGAGCATTTGAGGAGGTGGAGAATATGAATGGAATTATTGGAAGTTCTTTCTTTGCTTGCAGGTTTGAGTTCCATGACTCCAGGAGAAGTTCTTGGTTTGCAGGCAGTGTAGTTAGCTGATTGTATCCAGAATTCCACAATCACTAATTCCACTGCCATCAAAACAAGGCACAGAATTCCCCACTCCAACCTCAGCCTGGAAACTCCCAATTTCCTCATTCCTACTGTGATTTATTTCAATTTTCCTTCCAGAATTTTACAGCAGTGTGTGGTACATGTTGGTCGTGTGAAGTGAAATCTTGTCTTTTTTGAAAATCCTCAGGAATTTTCCTGGACCAGGAATATTGTCTGGTATTTCAATGATTCATTTACTGTATATTTAATTTTTAATACACACAGACTGGCCTATGGATTTTTTTAGGCTGCATCCTTCAGCTTATCTGCCAGATATCAATAATTTTCATTTGTTTTTCATGTTTTATTAAGCAAGGTAAGCGAAGGCAGTTTTGAGCAATGATTAAATATTAAATGCACTGTGGATATAAACTGGTTTTGTTCTTTTTTTTTTTCTCTGACCACTTAGCTTAACGAAGAATTTTAATTAGAGAAAAGAATGAATAATGGTTTTTGGAAGAAAAAGAAGAGGTGAAAGGCTCTGCCATCAGCCTGGTTGCCAGGCAGTGTAGTTAGCTGATTGCCCAAAGCAACAATCACTAGCCACACAGCCAGGTAAAGGGGTCTGGAATGCCAGGATGAGGAATTTGGAAGCAGGAATCAAACCCACAGGAATTGTGAGGACACAAGGCAGAGGCACCAACGGACAGGACAGTGAAATAAAACAAGGGTTGGGTTCCTGCCAAGGACATTTCCCCGGTGATTCCCCTCCTTTACAACTCATTTCTGCTAAAAAACATCAGGAGAAAATGGAATTTTGAGGTTTTTTTTCTTCTCCAGATTTGCAGGGTTTGATTCCCGTTCTGACTGGGCTCATCTCAGCCTTACTGAGGCCTCTGTTCTCACATTTCCCTCATTTTATTCTTATTGAATAAAGGAAATCAAGGCCCCTGGTGGCAGCTCTTTCTCATCCGTGGAGAAGCTGGACTGGAGTGGAAATGACCTGAAAGAAGATGGAAACTTCTGCTGGAACCCCAATTACTGACCTGATTAATTAATGTTCCCCCACCATCACAAATAAAGCAAACTCAGACAAACCATTCAACACAAAAATTGCATTTTCAGCCTGACTCTGCAATTATCTTTTTTTTTCTAATTTGAGTAAAGCACTCCCCCTTTTTTTTTTTATTTTTTTATTTTTTTTTTTTAATTTGGGTAAAGCACTCTCCATTTTTAGTGGGAAGTTGGGTTTGGGAGCCAGGCCAGGCAGAGCAATCTGCAGGTGCTGAGCTCTGCAGGCTTTTCCTGCAAGTCAGCAATCCCCCTTTGCCCATCCATCATCCCAAAAGGAATTTCCTCCATCACCATCCATTAGTCTGCTCTGAATTCTGCCTGCAGCCAGCAACAGTTCACTGAGGCTCTCATTCTTTTTAATTTTTTATTTTTTTTTATTATTATTATTTTTTTTTAATCAGTTGGATTTGATGGGTTTGGAGGGGTTTTCCAAGCAGAGATGAAAGCCAGGATTTGCAGCTTTGGGCAGCAGGCAGCCATAAAGATTCATTTCATGGAGTAAATGGCTTTTTATTTCACAAATCTAGGACATGCTAAAAGCATCCCAGAAGTCGAAGAAAATTCAAATTAATGCAGTGGACAGAATAAGAATAATGTTCAGGTTATTATCAGTCACAGATATTGCTTGGTGTTCAAATCCAGGTTTCAGATTTGATTCAGACATGAACAAATCTGAAGGAGAAAAGCTTGGAAATGGAATAATTCTGGGAAGAGAATGTGAGTTTATCCAAGAAATTCCTAAAGCAAAGAGGATCCTGCAGCCTGGGGAACTCTGAAATTCCAGGCCAGGCCCAGCAGGTAAATGAAGTTTAATCGAGCTAAAAAAGCTTCTTAAGGACAATTTTCTATCTCAAAACCACAAGAAATAAGGCAGTGAGTCTAAATTTCTCAGTTTAATATGAAAGGAATCTTTACAGACTGGCCATTGTGTTTTGGTTTTTTAATTTTTATTTTTTATTTTTTTTCCATTGCTGCCTCCAAGTTTTTACCCACCGAAACACAAAAACTAATTTTATAACCAAGTTATCAAAGTGCCCACTCTGCTCCCTAAAAAGCTCTCAGAAACTGGATTTGAGCAATAAAAGAAGAATTCTATTTGGAGATTTTTATTATTATCAGCAGTGAAATGTAGATTTACTGATTTATAATGGTTTGGCCTGGCCCAGCCGGATGTTTATCAGGAGAATAAAATCCAAGAACAAGAGGTCTGGATTCTATTAAGGCTTTTCTTTCCTTCTGCTCTAATTCCCAGGATACAAAGCAGAGATAAATGATTCGAAGTTTAAGAACCACATTTCTGAATTAATACAATTTAATTCCTCAATTGCACGGAGTAGCACTGAAATATTAAAGCTGATAAATGCAGTGATTGGAGAAATAACCTGGAAAACGAGATTTCCAAAGGTACTTTCAGCAATGACGTCTTCATTTTAGACATAAAAGTCTCCTTTTTTTCCTTCCTCCTTATTTAAGCTTTTAAGTTGGTTCCTATTAAGCACTTCCTCTCCTCAAAGTTTATTAAAATGCTGAACCAAGTCTGTCTGCTCGGCCCAAAGTCTGGTTTTTATTTCCCTCAGTCTAAATCCTCAGATTCTATTTAGGGGGAAAAGATGTCCTGGATGATACTATTATTATTATTATTATTATTATTATTATTATTATTATTATTATTATTATTATTACTATTATTATTATTACTATTATTATTGCTATTACTATTGTTATTTCTATTTTTATTACTATTATTACAACTACTACTACTGCAATAACTGCTCAGTTTTATCCTGTACTATTATTAAAAGGTTTAGAAATTAAAAGGCTGCTATTTTTCTACACTTTTCTCCTTTATTTTCTGTCTATTTCCCATTTATTTCTCAATAATGGTCAAGAGAAGGAAGTGGAAGCTTCAGCACTTTTCAGAAGATTTTAATTTTGCTTTAATTCTGGCTGGGATTCAGAAAGTCAGGGAACAGCGTGGTTGTTAGAGGTATTTTTATTTTTCTGAAAAAGCCAGGAAACATCAGAGCCTGTTCCTGTTTCCCAGACGTGACACACGCTCAGAGCCAGCAGCGTTCCAACACTTCCCTCTGGAATTCCTGATTCTGCCGGGCTGTTCTCGGGGCATTTTAAAGAATTTTTTTTTTCTCCCTTTAAAATATCAATTTCAGGAGCAGCTTCTCCACTTGACCTCCCAAGAGCGGCTCAAGGATTTAAGTTTTCTGCACAATCATCGATGTCCCGTTTTAAAGCATCGATCCCGGTTATTTTGAACAGATTCACTTTGCTGCTCGGCCGCTTTTCCTGGGAAAACCCCTTGGAGCCAGGGCTGGATGGGGAGAAACTGCAGGGGAAAAGTGCGGAGCAGCATCCCAGGAAATCATCCCGATGATCCGTGCGGGAATCACAATTCCCGTGCTGAGTTTTCCCTTCCCAGGCTCTTCCCTCAAAGAATTTTAACAGCACGAGCTAAAAAAGCCCAGATTTTGGAGTCGATCCCGGGATTTTTCACTTCAAGTTGGATTTGGTGATCCTTGCTGTGATCCTTTCCAACTGACAGTGTTTAGATTTGGAAAAATTGGGATTGGGATGGAATAAAGCAGCTCAGCGTGGCAGGCAGGGAACAATAAAGCTCATCCCGCTTCTGCACTGCAAATCCAGATATGGGAAAGCGCAGGAAAAAAAAAAAAAACCTTCCCAAAAAAACCCCAAAAAAACTTCCAGCGTGGGGATGGACCCGCCCGTGGGTGGCTCCTGGTGGGCGGGGGGATGGGATGGGGATAAAAAACGGGATCGGGGAGGGGGGACACGGGCAGAGGGATGCGGGATCCGGGGAGGAGGAGGAGGAGGATGATGATGATGATGATGATGGGGAGAGCGCTCAGCCCCGGAGCGCTGCGGGGTGGGCGCTGAGCCGAGCCCGGAGGAGGAGGAGGAGGAAGAGGAGGAGGAGGAGGAAGGGAAGGAAGGGAGGAAGGAGGAGCTGGTGGCTGTCCCGTGCTGTCCCCGGAGCGATGCTGGCGGCAGCAGCGCTGTGCGCGGCCGCGCTGGGCTGCGCGGCGGGGGCGCGGCTGCTCAGCGGTAAGAGGGGCTCGGCATCGCTCGGCATCTTTTTTTTGGGATCTTTTTGGGATCTCTTGGGATCGCTCGGGATCTTTTGGGATCGCTCGGTGTCGCAGTCAGTGAGTCAGGAGTGTCTCTGAGTTCTTCAGAGAGGAATCAGAGGGCGGGGATGGAATTAAAGCCCTCGGGTGGATTGAAGTGTGGTAAGGCGCTCACACACAGGGGTATAAGTTTAAATTTTAGTATAAGTAAGTAGAATGGGGTTTAAGTGCTTTTTTAGTGAGTAAAAAGTCTTAGACACTAGTGTAGAATTTCGAGTTCTAGTGAAGGTTGAAAAATATAGTCTTAGATGCTCGGGGTTCCGTGGAGGCTCCAAGAACATCATTTTAGACATAATAAAGCTATAGCGGGAATATCGCTTACATTTTTCAGATAGAACAAAATAGACCACACGCGTACTTTATACGTAGCCTGGCGTGCTAAGAAACCAGAATTCTAACAGGTTAAAAAGTGGCGATCCGAGTTTGTGCCTCAGCTTGTTGGGAAGTTTCTATACAGGAATGTGCACTGGGGAGAGCTGGTGCTTTCTACCATCGCTTTTTACCATTTCCTTTTTGCCATTTCCTTTTTGCCATTGCTTTTGCTTTGCTTCTGCTTCTATTTGCGACTTTATACCAAAGCTTAGCATGGACTTTAGTGCCTGTGACTTTTGCTTTGAGACCGATGCGCTTCCGCAATAAACAACTTTATAACAACTCTGAGCCGCTTGGCTCATTAAAGAAAACAACCCGGCAATCTCAGAGCAGGTTGAACGTCACAGCTCGGGATCGCTGAGAATCGCTTGGGATCGCTGGGAGATTGTGTTGGGATCCTCCCTATCCCGGGGAAATCCCTCCAGCCTCGCCTCTGTCGCTGGGAGGGTCGGGATGCGCTGTCGCGACATGGGCAGGGATGCTCTTGCTCGGCGGTGGCGCCGGGGGAATGTTGGGTTTGGTCGTTCCCAACTTTTCCTGTTGATTTTCCTGCCCTGGGGAGCTCGCTGGGCTTTGGGGCAGATCCCGAGCGAGCAGATAAGGGGGAAGGAAATACAAGGAATCCTTTCAGCCTTGCTCAGAGCAGAAACCGAGCTCGGGACACGAACGAGCGCTGAAGTCCAGCCAGGAATCGACTCCAATCTGCTTTTCCTTAGCTGAAAGTAATGGCAAGTTTGGCTGGCAAGGCAGAGACTTTCTTCCTCTTTTTTTTTTTTTTTTTTTTTTAAGGAGGACGAGATGTGTTTGTGTATCAGCAAAGAGCCTGAGTGCAGTTTTTGTGACTCTGTTTCTAGAGAGTTTTTTAATTTTTAATGAAACTCTGCTGTCTGTGTTTTCCTTTTGCCTCTCCCAACAGCAGTGGACGTTTCCCTCAGAAGAGGTAAGGGGCTTTGTCTTTTTCTCTGAAATTCTCAAATTCCCAAGGGAAATGCAGGCTATGCTAGAAATGTATTTTTAATAATGCTGTGAATAGTAAAAATCCTGCTCCTATTGTAATCCCTCTGTAAAATATTAGCAAACTCCATTTCTGGCTATTTAACTGCTGAAAAATTCCAGTGTGAAAGGTGTTTAAACTCCTAGCAGTGATCAACATAAAAGGATAAAGCAAAGCCAGCAAATATCCCATGGCATTCTAAACCCATATCAGGTTTATAATGACCTGTCTTTGTATTATCCCATTTGTTCCAAGCACACCACAAACGTTACTGAAATGTTGTAAAAACATGTAGGTTAGCAGATTGTGCCTGCAAAAGAAATATTTACTGAGCAAAACAAAACTGTTTGTTTCCACAGTCTAAATATTGGGGCTGCTCTGCTGAAAAAAAAAACACACGAGTGCATCATTTTGGATGATGTGTCTTTTCACTTTGATCTTCCCTCAGAACCAAAATAAGCTCTGCTGCTTCTTCAATGAGGCTTGTGCTTCTTCTTGGCTTGTGACAGCCTGAAAACAGACATTGTTTACTCCCTGGGCAGGCAGAAACATTGCAGAGCACAGAGCAGAGCTGGAAATTGGGCTGTGGGAACTCATCTTGTGATCCTCGGGGCAGACACTGGAAAATGAAAGGGTTTGAGGTTGGATGTAAAGAAGAAATTCTTCCCTGTGAGGGCGGTGCCAGAGAAGTTGTGGATGTGCCATGCCTGGAAGTGTCCAAGGCCAGGTTGGACTGGGCTCAGTGGGAGCTGATCCCATGGGAGGGTGCAATGAAAAGGTTTTAAGGTCCTTTCCAACCCCAAATAACCTGGGACTCTGTGGCACTGAAATATCCACCAAGCTATTGCATAAACCCCAAAAGAGAAATTCTTGCTATCTCTGCTTGTACAAGGAAACCTCTAATTCTGACCATTTAACTCCTCATTAATCATTTTAATGATTAATGCTGATAAAGTTAAATGATTAAATTATTAAAATGATGAAGATAATCATAATTTTAAAAAGCCTCCTTGAACCCTTGCAAGGGAACTTTGCTTTTTAAAAGGCTGCATGTATCATCTTGCACTGGCACGGTGTTTTCTTTGGGAAGAACTCCCAGGATCTGCAAATCCCAGAAAATTGAGGGAGCTGAGAAGAGCAGGACACGAAAGGACCAACCTAAACTTGGAGATGCCATTTGTAGCACAAGAGGCTCTTACCTGTGTTGTGTTTTCCGTATAAACTCATCCAAACTGATGTTTTAACCTTCATTTTGGTCCTGTTTAGTGACGCTTTTCTCTCCCTCCCCGCAGGGCAGACGGTTTGCAGGCGTGGGACGCAGAAACCCTGCTATAAAATCGTTTATTTCCACGATGCCTCCCGCAGGAGCAGCTATGAGGAGGCTGAGCTGGCGTGCAGGGCTGATGGGGGACATTTAGTGAGCATCGAGAGCCCAGCAGAGCAGAGATTGATTGAATCGTTCATCAGGAGCCTCCTGGCTGCTGATGGGGACTTCTGGATAGGGCTCAGGAGGAGGAAGGAGGAGGAGGACAACAGCACAGAGTGTCACAGCTTCTACTCGTGGTCAGATGGGAGCTCATCCAAATTTCGGTGGGTACCTGGGAGTGGCACTGTGGGACTGTGCAGCGCCTTCAGGAATTCAGGATTTTGTGCCAGATGTCATTTGTGTTCCTTCTGCACTCGTCCCATCCCAGTGAACAAATCACCCTCCTGGTGTTGTCCATAGGAGTGTCTGCTTCAGGTTAAATTGATGATTTTTGGGGGCTAAAAGTGGGGGAAAGAACAAGTGGTGTGGCCTTAAAAATCTCTGATTAGGCAGCGACGAATGACCTGAAGGTTCCTGCACTGCAGATCCCCTGATGTCCTGAAAAATAAAAAATGTTATTCCTTTACTGAGGAAATAACATCTTTTCCTGTAAGACAGCAAAATATCAGAGCTGCAGGATTTATTGCAGACATGCAAATAAATCTTCACAGCAGTTTTTAGATTTCTGCCTCCTTGTCTTAAGGAACCACAGGATTTGTTATAATTAGATTATAAAAGCAACAACTTTGACACCAATTGTATCAGACGTGTAAAAACACCTTGGAATTGTGACCTTTTTGCTCTGGGAGCCCATAAGGCATTTCAACCACTCAGAAATGAACAAATAAAAACTGTTTTTAGAATGATTTGATGTCTGAAAGTCTCTCCCATGGTTCAGATATTGGGGGTGGATAATGGGAATGTGCTGCTAAGAAACAGGCCCAGCTTTGCTGCCTTCCATTGGTGAGACACAGTTATTTATGCTGAATGATAAAGCCAAGGAAAACACCAGGGGAGGAAGGAAGTGAGGGAGGAATAATAAAAAGAAATAAAGCATCGGAATGATTGGAAAAAGACTGCTCGAAATGGGTGTTCACCCCTGCTGAATACCTCGGGATATCTGGAATTATTTATGGCCCATGCATCAGCTCACAGCAAATTCTTGGCAGGCAGAGCATTGCTCGTTCCAGGATCAGTGGGGATTGAACAATTGGCAAAATCAGGAGACTTTTAGAGGTGTTTTCTGAGTTACATAAAATATCTTTTCATTACCAGTGATATTACAGTGCTGCCTCCTTCCTGTGCACTGCTTGGAAAAGCGGCACAGGTGTCTGGTGGTGAGGTTTATTCTTAGAAAACAAAAAAAAAATTGAGGTTTATTCTTAGAAAACAAACAAAAAAAAAATTATCTGCAAAGCTGCGCTGGTGCATTTCTGACAGAGGAAGCCAGGTTTTACTTCTGGTTTGGTTTATTTTTTTTTTACATTAAATAGTTGCCAAAATTTTGCAGGTGCTGAGACCGAGACAGCAAAAAATGATCATTTTGCACAGGCCTAAAATTGTGTGGAGAAACCTTTGCAAGGCTCAGTGAAAGCTCAGGAGAATTTGCACTTTCTCTACACAATTGCAGCTCATTTTGAGCTACTTTCATTTTCAAGAAAGAACCTTGTCTACGAGAAAATAGTGAATTCTAAACCCACATTCTTAAAGATGTACCCAGGGACCAGAACTGAATCCTTGTTCCTGGTTTATTCCATGTTCACTCCTAACATCGCCACTACATTTAAAACCCCAATTTATTAAAAAATAATTCTAAAAATCTGTTAATTGTACTAGCTGAAAGCTTTTGGAAATGCTGGCTGGGACAGGAAGGAGGGAAGGGTGATTGTGAGGAGCTCGCCGATATTTATTGAACACCTTGCTCGCAGAGCCGAAAATCAGAATTAAAAAACCCAAACAACTGCATTTTACCATTCTCCCCAGTGTAAATGCAAGGTGTGCCATAACCCCTTTAACTCTACTTTTTTTCCCTTATCTAAGCAGCTGGAAAGTGCCTCTGAACTGATTTTTTTTTTGTTTTTTTTTTTTTTAATTTTTTTTTCCCCAGGAATTGGTACGTGGACGAGCCGTCGTGCGGGGGCGAGGTGTGCGTGGTGCTCTACCACCAACCCTCTGCCCCAGCCGGAGTGGGGGGCCCCTACATGTTCCAGTGGAATGATGACAGATGCACCATGAAGAACAACTTCATCTGCAAATATTCCCTGGGTAATGAGTGCCTGTGGGATTTAAAACTCAATCCCCCCCAGTTGGGGGAAGGAGCAGGGCAGTGGTTGATAGGGAAAGCTGTTGGAACCTTGGAAATGGAGAATTTTAGATTTTCTGTGCTGATCCCCCCCCCCCAGGAAAACACTGAGGCTGTGCAGAAGGCATCCAAAATTGAATGGTAGAAATAGGAGCACGAGTCTGAATAAATAGTTTGAATACAAGTGTGTGACATCACATGGTGCAAAACATAAAATTTGAGGTTTTAAAATATAGTAATAGGTAGAAAGCAAGATGGAGGTTTTGAGGTGGAGGTTTTGTCCTTTTTCTTCACCTTCTTCTTCATGGGTTTGGGTGATTTTATGTAATTGGGTAGAAAATTCTGCATTGCTGGTCATGGGTGGTTGGTTATTGGGTTAAAAGTAAAAATAATTTAGGTGTCCACTCTTAATTGGACAGTTTGGCCTTAAAAGGCCTTGTAGAGAGAGATCCAGCTCCATTTTTAGCTTGGTAGCTTGAAGTGCTGTAGAACTCACTGTAACATAGATAAAAATTAATAAACATCTGAGTTCCAACAAGAAATACCATTCTCTTGAGCATTTAATCCCAATAATTCTGGCAGAAAAAGAAGATAAAACACCATAGAAAGCCTTCCTCAGCTTTGCTGGTGGGACTGGGAGAACTTTAAATTTATGTAACAAATGGTAAAAAAATCCCAGTGTCTCCTATCTGTAGCTGCTTGTGGTTTACTTCAGTTCCCTGGGGGTTTTTAGGAAGGGTTTGAGGTCACAGGTTCAGGGAGAGCACTGAAGAAAATTGGAAATTCTGCATTTCTCTTGTCTTTCAGAAAAGCCAACAAAAGCTCCAACAGACAATTCCCGAAGAGGTGAGTTGGACATGTTTGTTTGGGATTTTATTTTATTTTTTTAAAATAATTGCTGACTTGCAGTGGAAATACTCTGACATCCATTGTCAAACACACCCAAAAACCATCCTGAGCAAGAATCTTCCCTGCAGTTTGCACTTGCCCTGTGCTGTTCCATGCTGGGAAAATCTTGCTGCTGGTGATGCAGAATTTGGTGATGCTGCAGGGATTGAAGTACCAGAGTTCCCCCAGTTCACCTCACACATTTTTGCAGCTCTCAGCCTCTTCAATCTCCTCTCAGCCTGGCTTTTTATTATTTCCAAAAAAATATTTGCAGTATTACTGAAGCTGCTTCTTTCCAGCTGTGGCAACAGAGCCCTGGAAGGCAGAATTCCCAGAGGAACGCCGCAGGAAAGGTGCCAATGGAACAGCTGTGGGAGCCAAAGGTGAGCTGTGCTCTCAAAACCTCATCCCAAGGCTTGGACTCAAAATGTGGAAACCGAATATAGAAAACAGCTGAAAAAAAAAATTAAAAAAAAAAAAAACCAACAAGCAAACATCTCTCAAGTATTTCCCAGGACAAAATAAGGAGGCTGCTCTGGAGGTAAAAAAATATTCAAAATCCAAAGGTGTGCGAAGTATTTTGGGTGTGAAAAAGCTGCTTTTATCAAATCATTTCTGAGCAGGCTCAGCTGTGAATGTTCTGTTTGTATGTCTGTGATTAATTATGAAAAACTTGCAGTTTCTTCTTATGACCCTGATTCATTTTTACCCCCAGAACCTGTTCAGAGCCTTGCCTACATCTTGATTTCCATCATTCCTGTGCTGCTTCTCCTGCTGGCCCTCACAGGCATCTCCTGCTTTTGGCTGTTCCTGAAGAGGTGAGTGGCATTTTTGTGTTGGGAATTAACCCTGACACCTCGGCCTGTTTACAGCTGATTTCACCATCCTGTTTAAAAGCCCTGGACAGGAGAGTTTGCAGCCAAAGAAAAGCTGAAAAAATGGTGTTGGTGCTCCAGGCTGAGTTAATCGTGAAGTAAAATTCTAAGTAAATCACATTATATCCTTTCCTTGCATTCACAGACACGGCAGGCAGGAAATAATGTCACCAAGATTACCATTTCGATGTGTTAACCCTTCTACTTTTCTTATTAAAGCTTTGAATCATCAGAAGTTCCCCTTCAAAAGCGAAAAATGCAGCAGTGGAAACAAAAGACAACAATTTGGAGCAAATAATGTTTACCAATGTCCTGTCCTTGCTTTCCCTGCGTGCACAGCAGCTCTGGGGGGGGAATCCTGTGGGATTTTGGGAGTGTCAGGAGAGGTTTTGCTGCCCCTGGATTTGAGCTGGCAGCCCAGAGTGTCCCTGTCCTGCCATGGGATTTTCCAGGAGTGCAGCCTGGAATGGCTGGAATTGGGAACGTGCTCGTCACCGAGCTCCTGTCAGAGTTCTGCTGTTGGTTTGTGCTTTCCTCTGTGCCAAAGCATTTCCTGGCTTTCCCCTTTCTCCCTCCTAAGGAGACAGGAGCTGGTGGATGTGACCCCGAAGGGTGACAGTGCCTGGCTGCCACCCCCCAGGAGGGACAGCCCCGAGCTGGACATTTACAGAGTGATCAGCAAGCAATCTGAAGCTGACCTGGCTGGGGCCAGGCCTGGCACAAAAAATTCCTCCTTCCGTGCCCAGGAAGGGCTGGAGAGCCCCTGCAGGGACCCCGAGGACACCTCCAGCCCCGGCTTGGTGACACTGGCCAGCACAGAGAGTGGCTTTGTCACCAATGACATCTACGAGCTCTGCGGGCACCACGTGGGCAGGAGCAAGGAGTCCACCTGGGTGGACAATGAGATTTATGGATATTGAGGAAATGGACCCGAAAAAAAAAAAAACCCCACTGGAATTTGGATTTTGAGTCTCAACAGGAGTTTGCTTCCCTCTCTATGCACTTGTTCAATAATGGTATGTGTGGTGCTTGTCCTGGTTTTGCATTGTCCCCTCATTCTTCCATTTTCTGAAAGAATTGGGGTTTTTAAAGATCCAAACTGAAAAGAATGTACAGATTTTGCTTTGCACCAGGAATGGCTCGTTAATAGCCTCGATTCCTTTTTGTACCAAAGATATACCTTGAAGCTGAAGGACAATCCAAAATCCTTATTTATTTATAGACCTCCACCTCCTCCAAGGTGCTCAAAGTTACCTGAAATGTGTGATGGAGCCCTGCTTCCAACAGGACGTGGGGAATGAATCCCTCGGTTTGCTTTGCTTGTGTAACTTTTACTGTGCCTATTAAATTTCTTTAACTCAACTCACGAGTTTTCTCATTTTTACTCCTCCAATTCTCTCCCTCATTCTGCTGGAAGGGACAGAGACCAAGCAGAGACCAAGGAACACAAATATTTCACACCTTCTGTTCTGCAGGTGATTTTCTGCCTCCAGGAGAGCAACGCTGCTGCAGAACAAGGCTATGAAGCACCTAAAATGTGTTTTAGTTGCCTAAAACTTCGCTGCTCTCCATTGCATGTAAATAAATAAATAAATAGGAAAATGAAAAAAAAAAATCAATTCATAAGCTGGGAGGAAACAAAAGTTTGGCAAAAAACTGCTTTAAATGTGGCTGAAATAACAAGAGAACCGAGTGCAGGCATAGCCATGAATCTGTTCTGCCAAAACAGGCAGGAAGAAGTTTTTTACATCTCTGAGCTGTTGCTGACTGCTGCAAACACTGAAATATTTCAGTTGTCCCAGCTGCTTCTCACTTCCTAAATGTCCCAGGTGCTGTGGCTGTGGCTCTGCAGTGTCACAGTGGCTGCTCCTCCACCAGGACGTGGTGCAAATAAAGCCCTGAAAGGAGAAATCCATTTAAAAAATAAAGTCTTCTAATTATTTTGCAAACAGCATCGAGTGGGCAGCGATTTCTCCTGAAAGGCAAAATCCTGATACAGGAGAGTGCTCAGGGCTGGGCACTCAATATCTGGAGTTTCTAATGCAGTAATTAATGCAAATCAAGGGAAAGTCCGTCCAATCTTGGATTCTTGGTCTCATTATTTTTGATTTTGGCAGCTCTTAAGCATCTTTAAGGCACCGAAAAACATGAAAATGAGGGGGAAAATTTGTCAGATGCTGGAGTTTAGCTCTGCAAATCCAGATTTTGGCAGCCAAGCGTGCGGTCCGACCCCTCGGGCTGCCCGTGGGGCTGGGGCAGTGATCTGAGTGTATCGAGGCGAGGGAAATTTTGATAAATTCCGCTGTTTGACACCTCCTTTGGGGCATCCCAGCTGCGGGAGCGGCGACCACACGAGGGCATGTGCGCTCCACGTTCGTGTCCTGGAAAAATCAGCGCCGGGATCCGGGAGGAATTTGAATCCTTTTTCCTTGGAGCACAGCAAAAACCATCAGCTGCGGAAATGTGCCCTGCAAAAGGATGTTTTTTTGTGGGTGCAACTCCTCCCGCAGCGTTTCTAAGCCGTGTTTTTGTGAGCTGAGCTTTCCGGCTTTGTGGTGGGGTTTTTTGTTGGCTTTTTTTTTTTTTTTTTGCAGAAGTTTTCTCTTCCAAGCATCAAAATCTGGCTCCATCGTTCATTTTGCACCGGGCTGAGGCTTGAAAGCGGGCAGGAAGCAAAGAAATGTTTCAAGGCTAAAAATCTTCATTTGGAATGACGTGACTGAGAAGGAGTATTAGGTAACATTTTGTAGGGGAAAAAAAAAAAAAAAAGTAACTTCTGACACAGCCGAGTTTGGATGGGAAGAAAAGGTGAAAGAGGAGTGAAATTTGGCAAGTGGCAGCTCGGGATGACACCATTTGCTATTCAAAGAGGATTCTGGAAGGCTCGCTCACGTACCCATCAATCACTGAAAAGGGTGGATGTCTGACTAACCCGAGCCATCAGTTACTCACTGCCAGAACTTCTGCAGGGGATAAATAGAGCAGCAACAGCTCCCTTATTCTCCATGGCAGCCCGAGCCAGCAGCGTCATCCCAAAATGTCACTCCTTGGAGGAATCTCATCAGCAGTGAAGGACAAGCATTAATTTCTGCACAGAGACCTTCAGTTCCCTCTGCAGAACAGTCATCGCTGCTTGACACGGAACAAAAGTAACTTTTCTCAAGGATGAGGCAGCTTTACGTGTACAACCTGTTTAAAAAGGGAAAGAACGACACAACTTTGCTCCTTGCTTCCTTCCACTCTTTTTTTTTTTTTTTTTTTTTTTTGAGCTGTGTCCACCCTGTGTGCTCACAGAGCTCTGTGGCTGTTGCTGATTCAACAGGCACGTGTTGTGCCATCAGCTTTGGGACAGGCCTTGTTTAGTCAGGGGAATTCAGCAAAGATTCCAGGGGTGATTCCTGGCTCCCAAATGTCAGACAGGTACCAGTCCTCCAGCCTGAGATGGAGCAGGGGAGAGGGAGGGACATGGAATTTTAACATGTAAGTGCACACCTAAAGCAGAATCAGTGGACTTAGCATTCAAAAGGAAATCCGGCAGAAAGGATCTTAATTTTTTTTCGCACATTCTCAGCTCTGAAGGTCCTCAGACCATTTCAGGTCACAGGGCCCAACAGAGCTTCCAAATCTGCGTTTCCAAATGTGAAAGAAATTTTAAAAAAAGAATAATTCATTGAAAAAGGACCTGCAAAAATCATCCTGTCCATCTGCATTGTGTGATCTGGAGTAACCTGAGCCCACTGAAAACTGCTCAGTGCCAGGGAGGGCGATTTCCATCAGGAAACTGCATTTGGGACACGCAGAGTCTGATCCAGCCCCAGAACCCGGGGGTCCTGTGTGTGGTTCAGGGCTGGAGACACATCTGGGGCTGGACAGACACACCTGGGGCTGGACAGACACACCTGGGGCTGCCTCATTGCTCTTCATCCAAAAACGAGCTGGGCATGTTTATCTTGGGGAAGGCTCAGAGGATGGCACCAAGGCATGTAAACATCTCCAGGGGGTCAGAGGATGGTGCCAGGCTCTGTTCAGTGTGACAGGGCGAGGAGCAGCGGCCAGAGACTAAAAACAAATCAAGTTCCGCCCCAACATGAGCCAGAACCTTCTCTCCTGCAGGGTGACAGCGCTGCCCAGGGGCTGCAGACACCCCAAAGCCCCCTGTGCCACCTGCCCCAGGTGACCTCCCTGAGCTGGGCGATGCCAGCGCCGGGACTGGTGGCACTGGCGGTGTCCCCGTACGGGTCCCACGGTGTCCCCCAGGTTTGGTGGCAGTGACCCCCGGGTGTGCTGGCGATGTCCCTCGGGTCCGGTGGCGCTGTCCCCGAGATCTGGTGGCAATGTCCCCCGAGATCTGGCGGCAGTGTCCCAGCGCGGGTCCCGCAGTGTCCCCCGTTCCCCTGTCGCTGTCTCCCCGTTCTGCCGTCCCTCTCCCCCGTTCCCCTGTCTCCATTCCCCTGTCGCTGTCCCCCGGTTCCGCTGTGCATGTCCCCCGTTCCCCTGTTGCTGTCTTCCCGTTCTGCTGTCCCTGTCCCCCCATTCCCCTGTGGCTGCCCCTGCTCCCCTGTCGCTATCCCCGTTCCCCTGTCTTTGTCCCCCCTTTCCCCTGTCGCTTTCCCTGTTCCCCTGTCCCCGTTCCCCTATCCCTGTCCCCGTTCCCCTGTCGCTGTCCCCGTGCCCTCTGTCGCTGTCCCGTTCTACTGTCCCCGTCCCCCTATCCCTGTCCCCGCTCCCCTATCCCTGTCCCTGTTCCCCTATCCCTGTTCCCCTATCTCTGTCCCCTGTCCCCTGTCCCCTGTCCCCTGTCCCC